TGTGCAGCTGCATTCCTGAGGCAGCTCAGACATACCCCAAGTTGATATTTGGGATGGGGCAACCAAAAACTTGGTCTGGTCATATATAACAGATAAACTAAGAAAGTTATAAACCAGGATCATTCCCTCTCCTCATAGTGTATATATTTCAGGGCAGGGAAATACACAACACACAAACCAAACCTCAGTGACAATGCTGAGGAGGCAAAGGAAAATGGGGCATATTAGAGAGGGAGTGTTGGGAATGTTCAAATATCAGGAAGGTAAGATCACAGAAGTAATGAGAGTAATGGAAGAATGCATGCATGCTGAAGAAATATCCAGAAGGCCCAGTATCTGCTGCCCTCTCCAACTCAAACATTTTAGGAGCTTGGTTTAATGAAGTAAGTGGGTCTGGGCATACATATGGCCAGAGGCATCCAGCACAAAGCAGAGGGGCAGGTGGTGGTGGAGCTGAGACAGAGCAGTGAAAGGACAGGACGCAGCCCTGGGAGTAGGCTGCGTGTACCTTGTGAGGGACAGGCAAGACGGCCAGGTGCAGACCTTAGTCTGCAAAGGAACTTTTCATTTCTAGCAACTCTATAGTGGCATCTTGCCTTGCCTGTGAACTTGTGGTGGCCACCACACCCTTTTGGCATGGTTTCAGGTGCCCATTATAAGGTTGCAGAGAGCATCGGAAGGGCAGAGACTACATCTTTTGGAGCAGGAAGACCATAGTGGTTATTTACTCTTATCTGTGTAAATGCTTCCCTAATGAATACCTATTTATCATTTATCTTGGATCTGGTGGATTCATTTAAACCCTGCCTTCAATTAGCGTCCAACGTGAGACAAGAGTCTCCATGTAATAGAGTTGTTATGGGCTTCCTAGTCTCGCAGTTAGTCTCATGCTACCCTCCTAAGAGCACTTCAAGGTGCTCTATACAGGCATCTACATAGCCACAGTAACCCCCTCAAGGTGCAAACAACCCCATCTACAGAGAAGTAAGTTGCCCAGCTTTGAGATCTAAGTCTTGTTCACAGGGGTACAGCTCTGAAGCTCATGTTCACGACATTGTGTCCTTGCTCCAGCCTTTCCGAGGGGTGTTTGTCACAGTCTCCATGTTAAGTTCTTTGGAGAGAAATGGACAATCTCTCAAAGCCAGTTGCTTCCTGTAGTCCTAGAGTTCCTTGCAACTGGCCTATTCCAATATCCCTGAAACCTTGGCTGTGTTCTCTCCTGGAGACAGAGTTAAGGATGCTCACCTTTGCAGCTGCCCCAGAACCAGATGATGGAAGTTTGGCAAAGGCTCAGGTCCAGGTGTTTTGCTTTGAATAAATTCACCATTACAGTTGCTTGTTGTGACACTCCCCCATTTACTCATTATGAATGCTTTAAGTCATCAATGTGTGCTAACCTTCCTCCTCAGACTAACCCTGGGGAAAATAAAGTACATCTCCTGCTCTGGGCTCAAGTAGACCTGGGAAGGCTGGAAGCTTCTCCCACTAAATGTTACTATTGATTCATTGCTTTTGGATATGTTGAACTCTGACAGCTACGAGAGAATCAATACTTCAATGTGCATGGCAGCTTGAGCAAAAACACACAGTCCAGGTCTGCAAGTTCTCAGCTCAAACAGACAGTCAAGTGGGAAAGAGGCAGAAGAATATCTGACATTGAAAAATGGAAAGTACCAACTTTAGGGACAATGTCAGAGGGAAGCAAAGTGATGAGGAAGAGCCCAGTACATTTTATCACACCACCATTAGAGCATGTTATAATGACCACAGAAGAAGTGTTATACTCCCATTGACTAAAACTTTTTAGAAAATTGGGTAAGGAAAACACAGCTCTCTACAACAGCAGGAATCACATGAAGTCCTGGTTTCAAGGCTCAGGAGCAGTGCCAGGCAGCACTGTCCTCATCTGTACCTGTCCTTGAGTTCTCCTCATCATCATGCACTGGAGTTAGGAATCTATGAAACAAAGGCCAATGCCATTTTACAGGGGAGTTTGGGAAAGACTGAGAGCTGATCTGCTTGATTCTGCATACTGTGTGTGTGTTGTCTCTACTATCATACTAACATATGCAAGATGGGTTCAAGCACACAAGCACCACTTACTAACTCCTGCCTGCTCTCTCCTCCTCTCCCCTCCGGAAGAAATGAAACATTTGTCTATAGAGATCTATTATTTTGGGCCTAAATTATCAAGAAGATGAAATTTACCCTCTATCATGTTTGGTTTTTTCCTTTCTTTTTTTAATACTTATTCATGTTGACTGTGTTGTTTTTAGACTTGAGCTTAACTAGAATCTAGAGACCTTGAAGGATGCCTGTTTAGGGTTCACATGCATCAGTGCCCCAAGTTGGTGTACCATCCCAATCCATACCGCCCCACCAAGAGCAGCCTTCTCAGTACCTTTTAACCCTTGTTGGCCTTCATTAGAACAAGGACACTAGACCATCTGGCCATTCTATAAACTCAGGGGGCAAGGTCCCTCTCAGCAATCACACTGTCTTAGCTAGACAACCAGACATTTCAGTCACCAGAAACAAAACTCCTTAGAGACAAAACATGTTTTGAGTCATGACTAGTTGTTTTTTATATTTAATTTCAGTTTAATAGGAATTAGTTGTGGCTCTAACATTTACAATGATGCTGAACATGAGCACATCCTACAGAGAAGTCCAATGTCATTAATTACAGAACTTGGGCAAGCCAGGGGAACAGATAAGGAAAATGCTTTGTTTATTTAGCATTTATGCTGTCATATGAGATCAATTTCTTCATGAAACAACAACTTATCATAGGAAAAAATGAGTATTTTGAATCTCCCACTCTATAGCAGAATCATATAGGTGTTTCCACTGCCTTTGAGATTGTAACCACCCCCCCCTCACAGAAACACACAGGCCAAACAGAATAATACATTTATAAAATGATTGCTCTAAACATACTCTTTACCTTATTTTTCCTAAATGAAAAGCGGATCAATAAGGAAATTCTCTACCAGCATACAACTATAGTTCATAGGGAAAGGGTATACCATGTCTGTAGTATTTAATCATTTGTGAGTAGTTAACAGAAGGTAGAAAATTCATGATCTAAAAAACCCAGGGGAAATCTAAATCTAAATATACACACATACGCAAACGTGTGCATATACTTACAAAACAACCACTGGGTTTCTTTTTCCTGTGAGACATGAGCTGCTTTAGAGAGAAGTGGTAAAAACCCTGTTGGGAAACATCTCGTTCATCTGAAATACTTGGATAGAAAGTCAGTACATGGTTTAAGAGATGAAACTTTACAAGTTTATAAAGAAGGGAAGCATGCCAAATGATCAAAACCTGAACGTGTGATTAAATCTGAAGGCCTGAGGATCCCAGGGAAGAGCCATAGGTAACTATGACAGTATTGTCATAACAGGATAACAGGCAAGGAGGTGGGAGTATTACAGGAAAAAACTAAACACCGTTAAAGCCGGAGCTGCATTCCAATTTTAAAAGGAAGAGTACCTACTCAAGTGGATGGTGGTTTTCATAGCTATTGAACAATCCTATGGAAATAGTGTTATTGCTGTTGTACCATGAATGAAGCATTGAGAATGAATATGCTCAGCAGTGTGCACCTCCAATCAATTCAGACTCACGGGCGGCCATAAGAACATCCCTCCCATGGCAGCCCCTAAAGTATCTAGAAACTCTACAGTGAACATATGGACACAGAAAGAAGACATACATGTTCCTTATTAAGACAGACAATGTAACAAATACACTCATTATAGCTAGTAGACTATTCAGTTTTAAATATTACAGTGAAATTCTATACTGTGAAATTACAGCATGTTAATATTTAAAACCACTTATAAAGGAGGGTAGGTCTGCTAAGTATCAGAAGACAAAACCAACAGAAAAATGTAACTGTCAAATGCAACTTTGAAAATTTTGTGGCTAATTATAGGCTAAGTTTTAAAACAGATTGGTTTTGGTCCATGAGGCCATTAAAAAAATAAATGATAAAGGATTCTTATTCATAAATAGAAACTCGAAGCTCAAGGAAAAATTCCAATATTCTCTTTTTGCAGATTTTTTTTTGTTGGTTGATAAGAAACATTGGAATGATGGTTGTAAGAAGCATGAAGGTGCTATGAAATGACTGTGGCACATCATCTTCTAAAGGATGCCAGTAACTATCTGACTACATCTAGATGTTTGCTGAAATACAATTAATTTTTATTATATTAACACATACCACAACTTACTGCATAACATGCCTGGCTTTCTTCCTCAAGGGTGGGGCTGAGGAATGGCCCATAGGTAAAAACCAGCCTGATGCTTGTTTCTGTAAATACAATTTTATTTTAAAAAGTCATATTTGTATCTCTATGTTGCCTGTGGCTTTTACACTGTAAAGGCAAAGGTGAGCAGTTTTAAAGAAACTATTTGATTCTCTGAGAAGCCTGAATTACTTACTATCAGATCCTACACAGAAAGAGTTGTTGGCACATCACCTAGGGTTTAATTCCTAAGGTGTCTAGAACAACACAAGTGTCTTTGCTTTCACACACAGCTTCTTTGTACTTGGAAGTGTGTGTGACTTAGTTTTCCATTCTTTATTTTGTTCATTGGTGTGTATCCTGAAAGCTTAACACCACAGCTTGATTTTTCACTTTTAATATATTTGGAGTATAATCACTATCTCTAGTCATAATCTGCTTGATGTCAGGCATTCTTTAAGAATTAGAGATTAATAAAATGGAAGAGCCACCTAGCAACAGGGAGACTAGAAAACTGTTCCTCTTATTTTATCCTGAATAAGGAAACAGGCTAGTAAAAGGAGAAACAAAAACCAAATATACTTTAAATACTAGCAAGTCAGGAAAAGGCGGCTCAGCTTTCACACACAGAAGGGCAGACAGAAGACAGACAGAAAAGACATTAATATGTGTGTGCACGTGTATATACACACACACACACACACACACACACACACACACACACACACACAGTCCTCACATCTATTATAAACTAAAAAATACAACATAGAGTATATTTGTTTTATAAATATATTACTGTCTATATACATATAGATACATCCATAAAAGACATGTTAAATAATCATTGAATAATCAATACTACTTTGTGTATTTAAAAATTACACATTCTATTAAAATTATCAAAATAATCTTTAAAATACCAAGAATAAAACCAACCAAGTGTTTCTTTCCATGGAAGTGGTTCTGAATCTTATCATTGGTCAAATAGACCCTAGACTTGGTCACACAACTCAAAGAAACAATTCAATCAGGAAAATGCTATTCATTAAAAGACAACCCCCCCATTTTTTTAATACTTCATAACAAACATGTGTATATATAAAACACCCTCTTTAGGTATATTACATATTATCATAAATGTATTTTCATAAAAACACAAAATTCAAGTTTCCACCAGTGTCAAATATTTTATACTGGTGACCATTACTTTCACTGTTTAGGTCAGTGACAAACTCCTGTTAAGATAACGAGACTGAAAACGTCTGTATTACATGCAAGAAAAGAGGAAATTCTAAGGACCATTTTGGCCAGTTAGGTACTATTCCCTCTGGACTAAGACACAGGGACAAACGAACAGCTAATTACTGCATAAAGTACAGTCAACGGTCTGTTATTCAGGGGCAGAATATTCCAGTCTGAGTCCTTTTTATCAGCTGACCAATTCTGGCATTTTTATTACTTATTAACACACCATTTTCACGTTGTTTATTTATTTATTTTAGAAAGTCTGGTAAATAGGAATTAGCAATTGGTAAGTAATATTTTAGCTAAAATTAAGGTTTATGATCAGCTATGAACTTAATAATGGACTCCTGTTACTTATTGAGATATTTGAGAATTTGATTGTAGCTGAAGTCTGCCAATTATGTTAAACTCTGCAAGCAATGTTGGTGCTCCATTAAAGGGGACAGACTGTCCTCTTGTCATAAGAAAACTTTTCCTTAGCACACAGCTAATGGCACTGAGAAATGTAGGGGTGAGTGGGTCAGAGCTACCCACTCCATGACAGACACTGGCAGGGACTATATTAAAGATGAAAAGGAGGGCAACGAGTCAGCTAAAATCATTAGAAGGCCAAATTTTAAAAGCCATATCCTTCTTACCTAAGGTCTCACTTAAATCCATTTAGTCAAGTTTGCCCACTTCCAAATAATCACAGTGCTAAAATGAAGCAAACGCGACATGTTCATTTGAAGTGACTTCCTACTCTAGCCTCACGATATGGCTGGGTAGGCTGGGTAAAAGGAATCCCACATTTGTAACCCTGTTTTTGGCACTCATTTAGCCTCCACAATTCAACCTGTCCTTTGGACAATGACTGACAAAATCAAGGACAGTTTCACAAGTCAGCAGTGTCACTCTCAGACAGACACCACTAGGAATGGCTGGTGTGGCACCACCTGCATCACTCTTGGTAAAGACGTGTGCCACACTCACTCAAACACAACAGCAGTAACTGTAGAACATCACTTTCCTGAATTAAGTTTGCTGAACATGGTTCAGATTATTGGATATGCTAATATGCACAATGCTGTTTAGAAGCATTTACTGTGTACCCAAATCCTACTCCATGCAACACACAGTGTCACACAAGTAGTGAAAATGTTATCCTAGTCGAAGATGCTTGGACGTTATTTCAGGCAGCATTTTACCTTTATTTTAAGTTCACACTAAGTAAGTTTTAGGAGAGAGAAAATGCCAATAAATTTATTTAATATATGTTAATATATAAAACTATGACAGACACCTTTATTTACCTTAATTGTTACTTTTATTTTCTACCCTATTCTAGACTTCAATTTTACTTTAAAATTTTGTATTTAAATAAGGGATAAAATGTTGCCCAAAAGTCTAATTATAGTTACACATTTGTGTTTTTAACTAGATCTACAAATCAAAATAGTTCTTATTGTTAAAAAGATACAATTTGTATCAACAGTAAAAGGTACTTTCTGGTTTTCAGGGCTTTGCCTCTCTCAGGCTGCAGGACCAAACAGATCAGAGCATCGAGTCTGACAACAGGAACAAAGCTAGACTTGTCCTTTACACTCAATGATTCTGAGTCAAGTTCTGTCTAGCGCAATACTGTCTGCACTGATCATAAACCCATCTTCCCATTCTCAGAAATGTCACTACAGCAAGCAAAACCTGTGACTTTGCAACCAGAAATATCCCTTACTAATACTAGAACAGACTTCAGTCTGTATCTAAAACTACACTATTTGTGGCAAGAGTCTGGCCTTAATAATGTAACAGGCCCCCCAAAAAAACTACCTTCAGGAAAATGGAAAATATACAATATCTTACAAAAATTTTAAGTTACCATTTACAAGTCCTCCATTGCCATTTCTATAGTGCAGTATCAATAAATGTTGCATATCCTCAACACATCAGACCATCTCAGGCCAGCTTTGATAAATAGCAGGAAAGCTAGAGTGTATTAAATATAAAAGTTGCATTGAGAATACTTAGATTCATTAAAAACAGGCAAGTACTGTGAAAGAATTATTCATCCAGTATTGTGCCTCCCACAAATAAGACAGACATTAAAAATACACATGAATGGAAAGCTAGAACCTCAATCTCCTTTCTACTATCAGAAGTACATTTCAGCTGGAAAACAAAGCTTTAACCTGTGATAGTTACGGCTTTTGCCTTATTCATAAAAAAGAAAATGGAAACTTTTTTCCATTGATTGCATCTGCTTTCTTTTAAACTGACCATTTAAAATTAACTAATTTTCTTACAGGAAACACCCACCCCCCAAAAAAAAAATAATAAAAAGTGCCATATTGGAAATCATTCTAATATATACTATTACCCATTTTAATATAACTGATAACTTATATTTTGTTTAAAATATAAAGTCAGTGCTGTAGTATATCTTTGTTTCTATAAATAATGATTATAGCACAAAGAAGCCCACTTTCCCCAAATAAAAATAACTTAAAAAGCTATAAAGGATTCTAGTTAAGCTTGGCTTGAGGAAATAGTTTGCTAGGTCTAGTCCAGTACCTCCACACTCTGAAGGTACTGCAATTGCTTGCAGTTGACAGACAAACACCAAGTTAGTAAGACAGGAAACAAGGATAAAAAGTGCTGCATATAAACCCCTGATGCACCAAAGAGGAATATCAAAGATCACAGATACATCTATTAAATCAAACTGGAGAAACTTCCAGCCAAGTGTATAGCTTTAAAAAGGAAATGTTTAAAAAAAAAGTTTGAATGTAAAGCAATCCCGTGATACGTCCACCAGTGGGGTTCAATACAGATTCCATGATACAGTGTTTCACATAAATGGATACTATATAACCTCCTTGCCCAGAAGGAGATTACATGTGCTATTGTAGCAAACCTCCCTCAGCATCTGAGCTGAACAAAAAACTACTCAACACCACAAAGATGCATCATCTTTTCAATAACCCAGCTGCGATTTCTCTACTAAGATGGCTGCAGCAAGCTGCTGGGCATCTGTCATGTGAGGATTCCTTTTCATGACAAGCCTCACAAGGTCAGGCGGGAAGATGTTGCACAAATTGATATAAATCTTCTCCCGGTTGTCCTGGTACCTAGGAGGATCTTGTGGCATTCCACAGTACGGGATTCGCCATGTGGGCTCCTGCTGCTCAGGTAGGCTCTGGAAGGTGACTGGCTCATAGCACGGAGGTGTGGAGTTATCGGGTAAGGAGTAAGTCTGCCGATAGCCATATGCATCCATCCCGTAGCTTGGCCTATCCCAGCTTCCTAAGCCTTCCTGGCGTGAGTAAGGCTTTCTTTGTCTTGAAGGAGAACTATCATAGAGTCGAGAATCAGAAATGCTGTCTATTCTCGTGGCCACTAAGGACCTCCCTAGGTGTGGTGCCTTAGAGTGTGTGGAACTTGGTGGAGAGGGGTAATCACCGGGACAGCTGGACCGGGCACCCACAGCAGGGTGCTGCAGATGCATAGCCACATGTGGAAGAGGAGGCTTGTGATGGAACTTTGGTTCTTCATGACTGTAACTTTGCACTCTGGTTACGGGGTCGTGGAAATTCTGCAGGAAGGGCTGGGAATTAAGGCGGCTGTGAGGGTGCATGTGTTGACACTTCATATTGTCTTCCAGTTGTGGGTCAGGGGAGCTGACATAGGACCGATCATTGTACCCCACATAGGAGTCGCTGCTCCCACAGCTCATGCTCCCTTCACTGCTGCAGTCTGAAGCTACAGAATTTACTCTATAATCAGTGTCTAATGAGAAACGCCTTTCAGGACTTCGGGGGCCTGAGATACTCAAATTTGAATACGCATTCAACATGGAATAATATCCAATGTCAACAGGCGAGTCACATTTTGGATACTGTTCATAAGGCATTGGCGTTCCATGATTTTTGGTTGCCATCATCATTGGAGGGTACTGTCCCTGTGGTCTTTGATCCTGAGGTGGGAAATGAACTCCAGATGGAAGGCCATTGCTTAAAGATGTAGTGCTTTGGGGTTTTGCAGTAGAAGTAGCCGGTATACTAACTAAAGAAGGTACAGACCTGGTTTCCAATTTGTTTTTGGTGGGAAGCTTTTCCTCTATGTCTTGGTAGACGTGAGTCCTTATGCTCGGGTCTGACTGCCTCTTTGGAGCACCTCGTTTAACGTCCGAAGTGCTATCAACCTTGGTGCTACAAGGAACACTGTTGCTTTTCACCAGTCCCCCTTCATTTGTCGTTTTGGCTGCTGTGTTTCTAGACATGGCACGAAGTTCATCAGCTACTGACCGCTGAGGCTGACTGCCCCTTTCTGGGTGGTAATATTTGCACTTGTGTCCATAGGTACACTTCTTTCCTATGAAGATAAAATCAGTTAGGCAAAGGAGCACACGATGGGTCCTGCACAGCCAGTGAGGCACACCTATCTGAGCTCGAGAAACAAAGGCAGAAATGGGAGACGGGCTAAGTCTTAGTCTGTCCCTCACTCTTCAGTCTTCTTGCTTACTATGAAGAGCACTGAGGAAACTCTCAGCTGGTATCTGAGATCATACCTGCCTCCTCTTCCACGTCTTTACAACTGGGTGGGAAATTCTGCCACGAAGAGCAACTGTACTGCTGTAACATGATATGATAAAGCTATGCTTATCTAATTCATACCTAGATAGAAAAATTCCCAATTTTCAGTCCCATAAAAACTAACTTCGAACAGAATTACTGCCATTTTCAGACCATATTGTCTGAAATTCATATATTGAACCCAAATATGTAATAACAGTTTTAAGGCTAACACACTTTCTTAAATTCAACTATAATCAAAAGAACCACATATTATACCATCTGAGATTTTTCAATGTTTATTTATATTAGCCAAAGTTTAACAGTATATTGTGCTCTAAAGGTACATGCAAAGTATTCAGAAGGACAGTTACCATATGGACAAGGTTGTTTTTTGTGCTCAGGAATAATGGGTTTCTTCCTAAGAAAATTATCCAGACTTGGGCCATGTCTTCCAAGAGGGTCATCAGGGGGCATAAACCTGCCACAGAGACAACAATTAAAAAAAAAAAATGACAGCCAAAAAGAAGGCTAATTTAATCCTAAATATATAACCACTCATTCAATTTCAATCTGTGTCTTGACTAATATTTATACGATTTAAAAAACCCAAACTTTACACCAAGTTCTCCTATAAAGTACAGCTTTCTTGTGAACTTGTATCCATTTTAATTTACATAAGCTTTGAGACAGCATGTCCTAATAATTCTTCCCCACCCCCTTCCCAGTCTTAAGATGCTTAAGAGGATTTTAACACCAGTTTTGCAAGGGAACACAGGGCAGGGGTGTGTGTGTGTGTGTGTGTGTGTGTGTGTGTGTGTGTGTGTGTGTCGGGGGGAGTGAAACAGTTAAAAAGGGGAAGGAGGGGGAGGGGCAGCAGTGAAGACAGGAGACTCACTTGAAGCCATTATGTGGCAGATGTGCTATACACAACACTTCATTTCCAAGTTCAAATTCCATCTTACAGATCAATCAATAAATCTAATTTAGGTTCAGGTGAACTAAGTCACTTTGTGTCTAACATTCAATGATAAAGTCAAGATTCAATTATACATGACTAAAATCTGTTCTCTTCCCATTATAGCAATGGCTTCTCATCTGAGAAGGAAAAAATAAGTTGAAGGAGGCAGAGCACACCTGTGATCCCAGCTGCCTGAGGTAGCGAGGGCAAGACTCTGACACCAGCCTAGATAACAGGACAAGATCCCATCTGAAGGAAAACTGTTTTTTTATGATCAGGTCTGAGCCAGATGGTGGTGGAACATGCTTTTAATCCCAGTACTCAGGAGGTAGGAGTAGATGAATCTCTGTGAGTTCAAGGCCAGCCTAGTCTACAAAGTGAGTTCCAGGACAATCTGAGCTACAAAGAAATATCCTGTCTTGAAAAACAAACAGCAATAACAAAAAGTCAGATCTGGTGTCACAGATCTGAAATCCTAGTTACTTGGCAGAGGGGAGGAGGTTAAGGAAAGAGGACTGCAAGTCAAGTTTCCTAGGCTAGGTGGCCTGGAACTCACACCTTGGCTCAAAAAGACTGAGAGACAGATCCATTGAGGCTGTAGCTGAGTGTGTCAGTGGACTTGCATCAATGCATATGTGCTGTCCTGGCTTTGATCCTTAAGAGAAGGAGCTGAATCTAAGGACATAAGCTTATCATTGGATTGACTAGAAAATGGAGGAAAGAAGAATTCATACTGCACACAGGAATAAATTCTAATACTCATTATATACTTGTTCTAACTTGAAATAAGCCCACGTTTACCACAAAATAAGAATATTTTGCACAATATAAAAACTCAATGAGGAACAATCAAGATGGCTAAAGAAAACCTTGGCAAATAGCATCACAAAAGCAAAATGGCAATATCCTTCAAAAAACTAGGGGTTAGGATAGAGTTCGGTGGTAGAGCCGTGACTATCCTAAGACCATAGGTGCCATCCCCAGCATTACTAAATAAAAATATTTTCCATGTTTCTTCTCTTCCTCTTTTCTTCTGACAGTCTTACTCTGCAGCCCAAGTGGCCTTGAACTTGTTATTCTTCTGTCTCAGCCTGTCTAATGTTGCGATCACAATGTGACACTTCTCAGTAGTCTTCTCAATTGAGTAGCTGAGCAATAATGCAGCAGGTACACATTGTGACTTGGCTGAGTTTTCTAATGTGTGTTCAGTCGCCTTGGAATTCTGTAATTCTAAATAGCTTATTTTTTTTTTCCTTCAATAATATATTCTAGGGGCTGGAGAGATGGCTCAGCGGTTAAGAGCACTGGTTACTCTTCCAAAGGTCCTGAGTTCAATTCCCAGCAACCACATGGTGGCTCACAGCCATCTGTAATTGGGTCTGGTGCCCTCTTCTGGTGTTGAAGCAGACATGTAAGCAGAGCATTGTAAACACAATAAATAAATCTTTAAAAAAAAAAAAAAAAAACAATATATTCTAAGGAGTAATGCAAGGCTGAGTGTGTAAACATAATTAATTTTAAAGCTTTTGCTAAACTGACCAACAGTTTTCATGCATTTAAAATTTTAACTTATTTATTTTTCTGTGTATAGGTGTTTTGCCTGCATGTCTGTGCAGTAAGTGTATGCAGTGCTCAGGAAGGTGAGAGGAAAGTGCTGGATCCCTTGTTACTGGAGTTACAGATGGTTATGAATGGCCATGTGGGTGCTGAGAACCAAACCTAGGTCTTCAAGAAAAGCAGCCAATGCTCTTAACTGTTGAGCCATCTCTCCAGCCACAGGTTTTATGCATCTTTAATAGCCTAAATGTTCATTTTATTCCTGAATTAATCAGGTGAGAAAATAAACTTTAGGGTTTACATTAACAACAAGTAAACTTCCACGTTTGTAAATATATTTACTTCTTGTAACTTATGCTTATTTATGGCATTTGTCCTTTTATCAACTTGAAGGCTACGACCATGACCAGAGTCTTCCTTGATAACACAACTTTTAAAATGTGTGTGTTTAGTTAAGCTACCATGCTCTAATGTGACTTGACTGGCATTTGGGGAGGTTTGGGTGAGTGGTATACATGGTTACATCAGCCAGATTCCTAACACAGAGTCTAAGAAGCTTCTTTGGTTTCAGGTGTTGTGATAGCAACTCAGGGAGGGCACAAAGCTCACACTTGCCCTCCTATAGCACAAGTGTTCAGTTTTGGCTCCCATTAGGATTAATGAGAAACTGGTGGTTAGAAAAAAAACAGTCTCAGGTCTGGTCAATGGCAAAGCGGGAAGAATATTACTGCAGCTGCTATGGACAGCTGGCTTACTTACTTGTCATTGACAAAGGAATACATTAATAACCGTTCATCTATGAACTTCTTCCATTCTGGTTTCTCATTTGCCAAATCTCTGTAGTTATCATTGGACACAATTATGCCATCAGACTCAAAAGCTAGCTTCACGATGAACCGGTCATCATAGCACACCACTCGCCTGCCCTGGACGCGCCGTGATGGCGTGAATACCAGGATTTTTTCCTTCTCTAGTTTCCGAAGAATTTCCTGGTCTGCAATAACAACAGGGTAGAAATTCAGGAGTAAATACATAATTAAATACATGGTGACTTTCATACAGTTTTTTAATTTAAAATATTTGTTTTATGGATATTAAGTGTTTTGTTTGATGTAGGTCTGTGTATCTGGTGCCCACAGAGGTCAGACAAAGCTGTTAGAGACTATGGAACTGTAGTTACAGATGGTTGTAAGTGCCATCTGGGTACTGGGAATGAAACCCAAATGCTTTAGAAAAACAAGTGCTCTTAATCACCGAGCCTTCCCTCCAGCTTCCTGGTGAGAGCTTTTATAGGAACTGGGATGTAGAGATTACAACTCACAGTTGATGGGCATAGCATACCTATAATTCTCAACAATACTTTTAGAAATTCTGAGGCATTGCACCAGAGACAAGTGCACTAAGCTGTTTCGTTGGTTTAGTTTTTGAGCGACAGCCACTTTCCTCGGTGGGTGTGTTTTGTTTGTTTATTTGTTTTCTAAATGGACGATGTGATGGTGAGAGAATCTGGAGTTGCAATGAAGGAAGTGAAAGAAACATCTGAAAACACAGGCTCACGAGAACAGACTGGGTCAGAAGCACCTGTACAAACATGGCACCACACATTCTGTATCCTGTCCTCTGAAATATGTTAAGAAATGTCAGCTAATAATTCTCAAAAAACCCACCCTATGTGGTATGGGTTCAGTGGTCATTAAAGATAAGAATGGACCAGTGGAAGAAATGTGGGTGGCAGAATAAGCGATCATGCATAAAACTCAAGTTCTGCCAAAGTTCATAGGAGCAAATCACAATCTCAATGAACCTGCTTCTCTGTTTCTGAAATGGAGTGGGCAGGCTGTAAGGAGTAAACCAGTTAACATACGGAGAGGTGCCAGGAAGCTCCCCTCCACCCATAGCCTGTGTTCTTCAACCTAACTTGGATGTATTTCAATCATATGTGATTGTTGACCTTTTTAAAATTCACAGAAAATCAGTGCAAACCCTAAAGCCCAGATTCAATAATAGCCATTAGAACTTGGGCTAATTTCACAGCAATGACAAAAGTGGTGTCTGAAGAGCTTCTGTGTCATTTTCCAAGTACAATGTAGTGACCATCAACGCTAGAATACATCTACTAAGTATGTCTCAGAGAGTCAGAATTTTATAAAATTTGATGTCAAAGTTTCCACATACATGAAAAAGATCTGACTTATATAGCTGTGGTGTTTGAATGAGGAGAGTCCCCATAAGCTCATACATTTGAATTATTTCGTCCCCAGTTGGTGGAACTGTTTGGGAAGAATTAGGTGTGGCTTTGTTGGAGGAAATGTCACTGAGAGTAGGGCTTTGAAGTTCCAAACAACTCATGCCATTTCCACCGTGCTCTTTGTATACTGCTTTTGGTCTGAGATGTGAGCTGTTCCTGCTGCCAACTTCACTCCACCATTATGTTTTATCACAGCAACAGAAAAGTAACTAATACCTATAGTATTTAGTTAACATAATTAGATCATTTTCAAGCTGGCAAATAAAATACACTCTGTCCAAGACAATGGCAGTCACATAGACTGAGCAAACAGAAACAGACTGAGAACCTCTAGAGTGCCAGGCACCTGCATGGGTATGTCATGGACACAGCCACTTGCAACAAGCTTACCTGTGATGAGAGCATCAGGTCGGGATTGCTCTTTTCTCCATGCAGGAACAAAAACGGTAATATCTTTGTGGCCTCTTTCCAAAAACCAATCCACTGCTAATTTTATTCCTCGGCAAGAGAATACTTCTTTGTTTCCATGGCTGAAAAAATATTTTAGAATACTTAATGCATAACAAAACCTAAATTCAAGTTTATAAACAGAAACAGTCATATCATTATAGTAATAGTGAGAAACTTGAAATTTAATATAAAGTTATACAACTCTGAAAAATTAAAGCTGTTGACCTCATTTAACTTAGTTAAAAATCAGAATCTGTGTGGAAAAAAAAAAAAAAAAAAAAAAAGAAAATTGAGATAATGTAGACATCAGGGAAAGGTGAGTTTTTAAATGTTATGCTACAAGGTTTAACTAATCAAAAAGATACAACTTTTTCTGTTAAAAAGTATTCAACAGGAAGAATTTCAGTAAAAGAGAACCCCCCACATACATATACATTATTTTCTAAGACATTTGTCTTTTCAAAAAAATTTTAATTATATATTTCATCTAATGACTAAGTAATGCACAAAGATGAGGTGTGTAAAATAGTAAAAATACCGTACAATTACAAAATACAAAAAATGCACAAAGATGAGGGTTGTAAAATAATACCACATATTTACCGAAATGGAAAACTACACACAAAACACTTCATATCCTACCCAAGTTCTGCTCAACACCACTGTGTTAGGCAATATTAATGATGACTACAGAGCATTCAGAACTGGACTAGTGGTACCAGTGTGGCCATCCTGTTAGCATTTACCTAGCACCAACTCTACTTATACCCTTTGTTCTAGTAATTAGATAAGACACATTCTAATGTATTTAAAGGAAACATTTCCTGCTTCAGATGTACTCTGTTGCCTTCTTTTCCAGTACGAACACTTGTAGGCTTCATTTCTCATATATCTGTTTCTTCTTAGAACAAAGGAAGGCATAATAAAATGAGTAAATGTTTTGCTAACTTTTAACACATCATATATGATATATACTGTTTCAGTTGGAAGCAACAGAACCTTCTAACATATGGAAATCAATTTAGTATAAAACAGAAATAAAATCAACTTGTTTTGAAGATGTTGAAGGCTGAAAGTACAAATGGACACTGCTTATGGTCCACAGCCCATTTTAATGGTCCAGGACAAGACTAGAATGAAATCAGATGCACTGGCATGTCAGAGGATGGGAGACAGGAGAGTCTGAGGTCATGTTTCCTAAGTCAGACAGGCTGCCTAACAGCCTACTAATGCACCAGCAAAAGGTACAATGTCATGTTAAGCTTCATAGGAAATAGTGACTAAAATCTCATCATTCTTTTTGGGAAAGAAAAAAAAAAAAAAAAAAAAAAGGAAAAACCTTGACATTTTCAAGCTATCCCTGGAGAGAATATATACAGCAAGAACACCTAACTTGCCAAACCTTAACTACATTGTTACTTTGATTTAATGACTTGAGGTCTATTTGTAGTATGCTTTGCTAGTAAATTGAATTATCTGGCAAACTGAGAGTCAATAATGTAATTGCTTCTGCTTCTTCTAGCTCTCAAGGCAGGCCTGGATAAGTGTTTTTTTTTTTTTTTTTTTTTTTTTTTTTTCCCTCCCTGGTGTTTCATTTGGTCAGAGAGAATAATTGTCACATTCACTCCAGAAAGTAAAATTATTAATAAAGAACTTTCATAAAATATGTATCAACAGTAGATGATTTAAGTTCTAGAGTTGCCAGAGCCACACCATAGTTGGCTGCCGTCTCAGTTTCCTCTGCTACCCATCCATAAGCTTGGGGGAGAAAGGCAGCTGGCCACTTACAAAGGCTGCAGTCCTGAGCAATGTACCACATCCATGTCCAATCCTGTTCTCTGAGAAAAAAAAAAAAAAAATTCTCCACTTCCTTAAGTAACTACAGCAAAATTTTCTGCTATTTGCACTTGAATATATCCTTAACTTCTATGAAGATTACTATAAATCAAAGAAAACTGACATCACTCTACTGGTTCTAGGAGAAAATAATGTAGGTAAAATGTTATTAGGGATTAACAAAGCGATTACAAAAAAGGAGCATACATAGGAAACTACAGCAATTCTGGAATCTGTCTCTAGATTAGTAAGGCAGAAGAACACAGAAGAAATGAGTAAATCCACACTCATACTAATTGCTACTTAAGAAGAATGGAACAATCATTTGAATGCTGGTCTAATGGACACATACAATCCTGCAAAGATTAAATGAGAGAACATCTTTTCAAGAACACATGGGAACTACATGAACAGTCACTTCACAGAAAAGGGAACCCAAATGACCAATAAACACGAAGTGCTCAATAGTAAAAATGCAAATTAAAGCCAAAACGAGACACTACTTCACACCCATCAGATGGGTAAAAATAAAATCTGCAAACACCAGATGTTGCCAAGAATGTGTGAAAAAAAGAAACTCATACATTACAGGTTGGAGTGTAAATTGATGTAACTATTTGGGAGAGCAATTTGGCAATATTATAAAGATGAAGGCGTACTTTCTCTAAAACATAGTAATTCTACATCCAGATACAGTAAAACTCTACAGCAACCCAAAGCTCAATTTAATGCAGTTAGCCTTTGATTTCTAACCTTTAATCAGAATTAGATTTCAAGTAGAGGTAAATCAATATTCCTACCTTTGCAAGCGGCCATAAAAACATAAAAAGCAAGTGGGGTTGTGCAGGTTAAGTCCCTGAGTGTCCAAGGTTTTCTGACCCAATCTCCAACTGATCATGTCAAAAAATGAATGTCAGTGGAGTGCTCAGATAAAAATAGGGCACTTATACCCTCCTTCCTTCATCCTAAGAATTAGGAATCATCGTGGAAGATGGAGAGAAAGGTTCAAATAGCCAGACTGGGGAGGACCAGAACAAAACAGGGTCCTCTGGACATGATAGGACTCATGGGCTCACAGCAGCTATACCTGTCTGCACCAGATCAAGCCAATCAACATTCTAGCATGGAGATGGTACCAGCTCATGAGTCCCTAGCCCTGGGAGCTACACACAGCTGATTGCTTCTTGATGGGTGTGTGTGGCTCTTAGTAGGTTGGCCTTGCTCCAGTGGATGGACCCACATTCATGAGTATATAAGAAGCACAAATTGGACTCAATGGCCCATTAACAACAAAAGAGGACAAGAAATTGGGAGGGGGTAGGGAGGGAGGTCCGGGTTAGCCCTGGGAGAGGAGAGTGAATACAATAAAAATATGTAGCCAGCAGAGGAAGCCCCAAGTGAGTGAAATTCTTAATGAATGCGTGCTACTGGCATGGGCACAGCATGTCAAGGACCCCATAGCCTCAGACCCATGGAAAATGGGAAAGCCTTCCTTGGTAGTGGGGTATCAGAATGTTGATGATACTCATAATGAATGCAGGAAATGTCTACAAAGCTCCCTTGCCCAGATATTTACAACATGAAGTCTGCTCCCCTCCAGAGACTACTCCTACTGAGGTTAGCTAAACCTGGCTCCTTGATGCAGTTGTATTTCATAAACTCCACCTCCTTGTTTATCTGTATATAAAAAACCCATCTCCTTGTTCAGCTGCAGGCAATAACCCTGCCTCTTTGTTCAACTCTATAACAAACATGCTGAGCTCCTGGGGTACTGTGGGTTCTTCATCAGAGTGCAGTAGAGTTCACCTGAACTCTGTCATCTTCTCTTCATTTTCTTGCTGCCCCTAAGGAGATCCATCCCTGGACTGGTGCTAGATATGGCAAAACATATATGGTATGAAATTCCCAAAGAATTAATAAAAATACAATATTAAAAATGAATGTTTACTCAGAAGTCCATACAGATGACCTTGGATAAAACTCTCCACCAGCTACCAAGTCAGAATTATCCGAAGTAATACAGGAGTCTTAACAGGAAACCACCAGGTGGCTCCAAATTGCAGATGAGACTTGGACAGTGAGAGGAGTGTGCAGGACACTGAGCTAGGTTAGGTTTCTCTTTATTGAGGCATGTAGCAAGGTATGACTACTCATATGTAACAGATACAAGGAGCAGCTAAGGGGACACTGATGGAGAAGACACAGTAAGTCTGATGAAATATCACAAAGAGCAGAATATAAACATGTACTATAGCAACAATCACAAATCAACTGTTTGTTGACTATTTCTAAAACAGGACTACATTGCTAATTCTACATACAAAGAACAGAAAATTTACTATAGCTTTGCAAGCATTTACTAATGCTGCATGCATTCAGAGTGTCTTCCCTCTCAATTAAAAACAAAAGGCTGACCCTTCATTTATAATTTAATTTGTCCCTTTAGGTATCTATTTCTTTCTATTCTAATACTGTAGAACTAAGTATAGCTGACATCTCTTATGCACACCTAATGTTAGGTGAGTATGTTGAAGAATCTGTAGTCATCTTGGATTAAGTAAGAGACCATGGATATTTATTTACTAAGAGCCTCCCTCCCCAACTATTTTAGAAATAGTTGGAAAATTCCAAACCCCCACGGTAAGTACTGAGTTTCTGGGGCACAAAATGGGTAAGAGCTTGAAGGTCTCACTGAACTCAGCACTTGTTGGTAAGAGGAGCCCAGGTCTCATTCTTATAAACAAGAGGCTTATTTTATTCTGTTGTGTTTGGAGTGGGTATATACTAGAAAATTCTACTTTGCAGTGACCAGAGCTCATGTGAGGCAAACAACGTATTTACAGAGATTTTCAGATAAATTCCACTGAAAATAAAAAGGATTGTTTATATCTCTGGAAATCATTTTATTTTTCAGGGACTAAAAAGAATGAATTAGACAGCCATAGAGACTGAGTGGGAAAACAAAACAGTCATTCAGGCTTCCGACCTGTTGGTTTTCTTGACTCTACTCCCAATTACCTGTTTGCCTTATTATGAGACCTAGAAAAGTGGAGTGGATGGACAGATGTTCGCATTGGCTACAGAGTGTATGGATAACGAGCCCTTCAATGGGGAGAACTGTAAATTTATCAGATTATTCTAATACAAATCCATTTTCTAAAACTCTCCTAAACTTAACATTCAAAATTCAAAACACAGCTAGAAGAGACGAAATGAAGAGCAAGGAATGTGGAGTTTGACACTC